TTTTCAAAAAATATATTAAATCCACCTTTCCAAAATCAATAGAATTAATTGGTCTATAAAAAAATCCTAAGGACTAAATAGATCACCATTCTTAAAGATGGGATTTATGGGTAAATTTTCCTATATAATACTAGCTAATTATTTTTTCCTAGTTGAATTCAATTATGAGCGCTTGGCCCAAAAATCTAAATTTGAATTTTGTTTGTCCAAAAGTTATAAGGACATTCTTAGGCAAAATGACCAAACTATCTATATATATGTACTTATTGTACATCTCTATTTAAAATAAAATTTGTATACAAAATCAAGAGCTCGGGTTTTACCAAACTGAGATGAAAGATTTAGAAAATATCAGAAATCGATGAGCTAAAAATGGTGAGAAGCAGTGAAATGACAAATCTACAAGGGAAAAAGAGATTGAGAAGCGAAATGTGTTTGATCACAATGAAAACAAAGCAATCGAAGAGTTGATAGAGGAGGGACAAATCATAAAGAGAGAGAAAGTCAATTAGAGGTGAAATCAACATAATATCGCCACTGTGATCGGTGACATTAGAAACAAACAACTTGTAAAATCCTAACGTCACAGGAAAACGTACTCGAAAAATGGCTTTAAGTGCTACAGCGGCGGTAGAGAAAGGGGTAACGGAGGTATTGGAGGGACAACAGGATAAGGAGTCGGAGGACTGATTTGTGTATATATGTATATATATACATCCCTCTCTTTCTCTCTCTCTCTCTCTCTCTCTCTCTCTCTCATACACCTATACATACACACGCACACCTCTCTATATATCCGTGTGTATCGTCGATGATGGTAATGATCTATTTAGAAACGAAAGACAAAAGTAAATTGGTGAAATTTCTGTGATGGTGTCGGGAACTCAAAGGCTATTTCAAAGGACTCAAGTCTCTTGTTTTCATCTAATTTCAAGCAATCAGATGGAGAATTAACGATGAAGAGTACAGATTTCAGGAATTCAGATTTGTATCGACAACCTCAATAGCAAAATCAGAGCTTTGACTTAATGTGGTACCGTTTGGCGCCGAACTCATTTTTCGCGAGCCTTGTGAATCCTCATCATCATCATCATCATAAATCATTATCGTCGAGTCTCTGTAAACACAAGGAATCTGTTCAAAAAGGCTCAAATTTGTTCAATTTTTTGAACAAATAAGTTGAGATAGGTTCAAAAAAATTGAACAGAAAAAAAATAATTTCAACAAATAGGGAAAATAGACTTGCGGATCCAACAGATGGATTATAATTTGGACATATAAGAAAAAATTAAGATAAAAATTTGAACAGATAAAAAAAATTAACACATAGGTTCAACAAATAGGAAAAATAATCTTGCTGAATAATTTTGACATATAGATTTTTTCAACAAATAGGTTAATAATTTGGACAGATAGGTTTAAAAAAACTAAATAGATAAAAAAGATTTGAACAAATGGGTTAAAAAAGTAGGCAAAATTAGAAACAAAATGTCTTCCAAAATAATAAAATGTACTTTTCACCACAATATTTCACAAAGCATGTACTTTTGACTAACAAAATTTATCCACAGGACCTAACGCCTCAAGCACTCTTTAGATTGGATTTATCGCCAATTTTCTCTTAAATTATAGGGGTTATTACAACTCAGTGAAGTCAAAAAAAAATTACAAATTCATGAAAAAAATTATAAATTTAATTATTAATATTTATAAAATTTCTCATTAATTCATAATTATTTTTTTGCAACCTTTATACCTCTATTGATGTATATTTCTCCTAAATTATATTGCAGTGACTTGGGCTTAGACAAGTCAATTAAGGCAAGAGATTAGTTTGGATCGAATTTAGACAAATCTTTGTATGCTTTAGAATGAAATTGAACACCTAGACTTCAACCCGATCGAATTTATCCGAGTTTCAACCTAAAAAACTGTTTGTCCCATCATGAGATAAGTCATTAGAGTAAGAGTAGCCAAAAAAGGAAGTATTTTATGAAACAGTTTGTCCCATCCTGAGATAAGTCATAGTAGTAAGAGTGGCCAAAAAGGAAAAGTCTAGGTGGTTAGATTAAGTTCAATTTAGAAGACTAAAAAATTAACAAATCACTATTAAAACCAAGCTAAAAAATAATTACAAAAATATATTGTATGAATTTCAATTTCACGAATTTACCACTAGAAAAATGTAAATGAGAAATTACATTACATACTTTATACAGTACATGAATGGTAATGAATTACATATAGCACCATGTATACAAAATAATTAAATTGTCACATACTAATAAATGAAAAATGAAAATACTTGGATTTTTTTTTTTTTTTTTTACGAAATAAAACAAGCAAAACTATGGTACGCGCTCTTAAAAATGTATACTGTATGTCCTTTCAAAACTGCACTACAATGATTGATAACAAAATCACAATAGTTAATGACTTTTTTCACCATAACAGTACGTAACATTTAAATATTCATAACATAATCATAATCATTATCATTATCATTATATAAGCTTAATAATTTATAACTAAAACTTTTTTTTTTTGGTGGTGCATCTATTTGTAACATAATTATAATAATTTTTATTAACATTACAAACACTCATAACTATTCTACAAAATATAGTATATAAGTAAAAAAAAAAAAAAATGTTTGGGAGGGCCAAATGCTATTAAGTAACACGTATAATGCTTGGGACCCCCCACTGGGGAGACTCCCAGCACCCCCAGTGGGCGGTCATTGGCCAATATTTTATTTTTCCCCTCTCCAATCACTAATCTCTATGTGTGTGAGGGAAGGGGGATAGTGGGGGTGGGGGATAGTGAAAGTCTGTATCATGGTTGTGAACAACAAATACATCATATAAATCATATTTTAGCAATCCTAGCAAAGTAGCAGGGCCAAGACCCCTCCTAACCCCCTCCTTCCCTCTACCCCTAATGATGGGTACATAATTAAGATAGGGTGATGCATTCTTCTACTTATTAATTAACATGTGGTAAAAGTAGTATTGTATAAGTCACTTTGTATTTGACCAGAGATGTTGAGTGTTCGATCACATCAAATTTTAACCTCATTTTTTTATCACATATTAATTAATAAGTAGACTAACAAGCTAGCAATGTTGAATTTGTTTTACATTTAGCCTACCCAAAAAAATGGGTTAACTGTCCATATAAATCAGCCACCATCTTAGCCAAATAGTCGGTAAAAGATAAATTATCAATATATCCTGATAGTTAGACTTTATACCTATTAAGTCATTTGGGAACATTATTTTTAGCTTAAAGTCAAAAAGTTATTAAAAAAAAACCAAAAAACCAACACATTATTTTAAAAAATCAAATATTCTCTTTTCTCTTTACTTTTGTTACATCTTTTCGTAAAAAATTAAAAAGTATTTCAAATATACTAATTTTTTTATCTCATATTTTAGCCAAAAAATAAAAAATCATTAAAATAGCATACTCCCGAACGAGGCTTAAGTCCTATTGAAAGTTAGTCTTATTAAAATCGTCACTAAAAATAATTTTTTGTGACGTTTTTTATGTATCTCGCTAAAAATTGATAATTAGTGACTTTTTTTTGTCGCAATTTTTATAAATTTTCACTAAAACTAATAATTAGTGACTTTTTTATGATAATTTTCAAATTATCGCTAAAAGTTAAAAATTAGTAAATTTTTTGTGACGATTTTTTTAAATTGTCGCTAAAACTTATAATTAGTAACGTTTTTTATGACAAATTATTCAAAGGCCTATTTTGGCAACATGGTTTGTAGTTACTTTTTTTGGTTAGTAGCAAAAGTCAAAAGTTAGCTTTTTTGTCTTTTTTTCCATTTGGGAAGTTGGTTTTTAGCCAACGGTGAAATTACAATTTTACCCCTCATGGGTCAAAATGTGTTGCATAGGTGAAGTTGTAAATATTTTAAATAAATGGGGGTAGTTTGGTCATTTTATTATGATTTGACATCATAAACAAACATTAATCAAAAAAGTCAAAAAGTCACTTTTTACCAACTTCCCAAATCATTTGTCTAAAAAAGCCAAAAGCTTGGTTAAAAGTCAAAAAGTCACTTTTTACCATCTTCCCAAAATAAGCCAAACTATCGTTAAAAATTAACAATTGGTGACATTTTTTAATAGTATTTAATGAAAAATGCGTTAATTATTACTGGATCTATTGAAAAATAAGTTTAGCATTAGAACTTATACAGTTTCCCTTAAAAATATATAAATAGTGAATTCAAAAAATACCCCCAAACACACTCACAAAAATATTGTTTTTGGTTTTTCAAAAACACTTTTCAGAAAATTCTACTTTATTGTTTTTCGTATTTTTTTGTTTTTACTGAATTTTTTTAATATTTTAAGCAATTTTTTTAATTATTAGACACACCTAATAAAAGTATAATTTTTGTGAAAAAAATCTTTTAAAAATTCAGTAAATACCAAAAATATAAATAAAAAAAATACGAGAATTCAGTATATTTTTCATATTTTTATGTATTTATTAATTTTTTAAAATATTTTTTCACAAATTTTTTACTTTTTAATTATATCTAATTAATGTGTATCTAAAAAAAAATACTTAAAATTTTAAAAATATTTATCAAAAACAAAAAAAATACAACACAAAAAAAAAAAAACTCAATTTTTAAAAAACTTTTATCAAAAAAAAAACTCAAACCAAAACACAGATGATTCCGCAAAGAACCTAGCTTTCCATGGCCGCACTGCGCCTGCTGTTTTGAGGCCATCCCACATGACCTTTTTTCACTGCTTTTAAAATAAAATAAAATAAAAAGTTACGTATCACCGTTCGTCGGCGAATCCTCTGCCGTACCTCGAGACTCCGGCGCAGCTTTCGCTCTCTCTGGTTTGAAAGCATACTGTTAATTCTGGAAGAAAAATAAAAATTTTGGCCCTCGTTTTGCATGAAACTGAAAACATTTGAAGGAGTAATTGAATCTTCTTTGAATCTTTCTACTGGTATTTTTCTTTTCTTTATCTGCTTTGAATCTCTCACAGCTACTATTAATTTCAGTATCTCTTGAGGAATCAAATCTGGTGCACGGATTCCTTTTACGCACTGTGTGGTTGCTTTGAAAATGGGGAAAACAAGAAAAGAAGAAGAAAATTTTGATATGCTTGTGTGTTTTCATGTTTCCTTTGCCTCATTCTTAATTAGTGACCTTGCTCTCTGGATGCAATCCGTATCGAATGATAGCTTTTACCTTACCTTCATGCAATAGAGAATTTATTCCTAGCTAGATGTAGTTAGACAAAAATAAAATATTAATATAAATATCACTGATAATAATAATAATAATAATAATAATAATAATAATAATAATAATAATAATAATAATAATAATAATAAAATTTTTCTTGCTTCCACAATAAATCTAGTTGCAGTGATCTCTTCAAATGAAACTACAAATCTCATAAAATTTAATATACCATTTTATATATCATTGAAGTTTTAGATTGTGAATGGTCTTTGGCTGGTTCATACAAAGCTTGTGAATAGACTATATGTATGTTGGCCATATATAATTCATTTGACCTTGTAAAGTGTAATAAGCAGTAATAAAGCCAAACTACAACCTTGAAGGTTGTTTCAATTAAATATAGAACATCATTTTTGGACTTATAAATAGGTCCTAAATTCACATTTTAGGTTGAAATTATGACGAAAACTTTCCCTGACGTTCTGCTAATATTTTCTACATATAGTATGAATTTCTATTGATATTGCAACTAGGACGAGTGATGTAGAGAGAATGAAATGAAGCAATCCAACTTCAAGAGGATTTGTGTCTTCTGTGGGACTAGCCATGGCAAGAAGAGCAGCTACCAAGCAATCCACATTTGTGTCTTCTGAAGAAGAATTATTTTTAGTGGTTTCCCTCGTCTTAATAACTAAATTCAATAACGGGGAAAATAAATGATATATTGGCTTGAGGTGATGCTTATCAGTGTTGGCTTAAAATCTCAGTGAATCAAGGAACCCCTTTGTAGAATATGCAGTGCAATATGCTGTAGCAGCAGCCCTTGTGACATTGGAAAAGGATAAGAAGGATTTGTTACACAAACTACTTTTACAAGGTAATGTTTGATGCTTCATCTTTCTTATTAAAATTAAGTAATTGTAAATATCTAATGTCTCAACTGGATTATTCATGCAGGTCTTGACATTACAATCTTAGGTTGCAATGACTTCTATTCATATCGGAATCAAGTATTGTACCTTTCCTATTGTACTTTTAAAATCTTTAACTTATTTGATCTTTAGTGGGTGTTTATTTGCTCATATTTTTAGCCTGTAGTGTTCTTTCTCTTTTACTACAATTGAAACATCTAATGTAATGATTATGCTTTCTGAGCTACTAGAATTAAAGTGATTTTTTGAATCATCTGATCTATATCATTAATGTATTGTTACAAATTTGCACATTATTATACTTGAGATGTTTCCATATGCCAATGTTTAGAGCAAGCCAAAGTTTAACGGATTGAACTGTGTAAGTTTTCCATGCTTCTAGGTGGGGTTTATCTTGTGAGATTGGAAAAGGGAAAGTTCGCAGTGGTTTTGATGTTAGTTCTGCAGTTTATGGTAGTCAACGATATGTTCGCTTTTCACTAGAAGTGCTTTCTTCTGCTCAGGTTTCTCTTTCTCTCCCTCTCTCTTTCTCTCTCTATATGTACAATTATATTTTGTCCTCGTAAAGTATTATTGAATTCTTACCTTGGCCCTTAAAGTTTATGTTTCCCAATTTGGTCTCTAAACTATATGATCATTCCCAATTTGGCTCAATTCCCAACTGCCATCCAAATTATTGATCAAAACATAGCATGAAAACATTCAACTTTGTCAGATATCAAGAGCTCTGTGGCAGAGCTTATGATGGGAATGAGCTGAGAACATGAAAAACAAAAGAAGGTTAGGAAGTTATAGAAGACTGTTTTTGATAGTGCTCTTATGGGGGCAATATTGTACCGAGGGCTACTTAATTAGGTGTATTTTTCTACGAACTTTCACTAGAATTTGTCTTATTTTTTAGTTTTCCTTATATGGAATTGCAGGATGCTGTTTTTTTGAATGAATAAAATTACAGAATGTAGTTAAAGGAAAAACGTTAGTGGAAGTCATTGGTGATGTGCTGAATGGCAAATGGGACCATGAGAGGACTACACAGAAAAGAATGTATTGTTTTTTCCGTAGAGTCTGCTACATATTGAATCCCTTAGTAGTTGGTATTGTTTTTTTCCTTAAGAGCACTACTAGAAAATTGACTTTTTGCATCTTTTTTTTTTTTTTTTTGGACCATTTGTTTGGCTGTCACGCCCCAAAATTCGAGACCGTAAAAGAAATGTACAAAATACAACTCAAACAGGATAGATAACTAAAATATTTTAATATACACATATAAGCAGAGTTATAGCATAGATAATTCATTTGTGTTCCGCTATAGGATTACAAAGCACTGTCAAACCAGAAGTCAAAAGAAAAAAAAACTACTAGTCTAAATCTTAAAGTGAACCACGGCTCCAACACTTCATCTTGATTGCCTTCAGATAACCTTCACCACCGTAAATTGCTTCCTCACCTGGCATGACACGCCATGAGCTTGGAATGCCCAGTAAAAACACATACACCCCCATATCTTCTATCAACCAATCAACCATACATAGAACAAATCACTAAACATAACATACAATATTACAATAAGGTTCTATGAATTAGTAATTAGACTAGACATCTAGAATCCCCCAAAGAGATCCTTCTACCCAGTGTTTTTAAAGGCGAAAACGCAAGGCGAGGCGTTTTACCCTTATTGAGGCGAGGCGTAAGCCTCGAGGCGTTGAGGCGTAAGCCTTTTAAATTTTGATTTATTAAATTTTTATAAAATACAAAATTAATTAAATATAGCATAAAAAGAGTACAAAAAATAAGAATTACCAAATAAAATTCTTAAAGGCCATTCTAAGCATATAACCAAAATTAATTAATAATTTCAAGTATTATAAGTGCTTTCTAAGTCATTCTCATTAATACTATAATAAAAAAATAACTTAAGTGATAGTCAAAATAACTTAAATTTCAATTGTTCAATAAACAAAATTACTTAAAACTTTAATACTCTATAAACAAAGCAATAAATAAATAATAGGTCACTCTAAGTCATCCTCATTAATATTGTCATCATCTTCGTCTGCTATATCTATAATGGGATAGGTTCCATCATCTATTCCACCAACTTCTTCAAACTCCATATCTTCATCCACAAGGGTGCATCTTGCTGCCTTGCCTTTTCCTTTATCATTTCCTATACAAGAAATATGATTTCAAATTAATTAAATAGGCACATACAATAATATGTATGCAACTAGTCCATAATTGTTTAACAACTTACTTGAACCTTCACCAACTTTTCTTTTCTTTGCATTCGAAGATGAGTCAACATTAATTGTAGTCGTAGTTGATCGATTCTCCACACTTCTATCATATGTAGTGATAGGCACAGTCCTAATTGCTTCAGCATCGAACAATTCTTCTTCATCAAGCCAAGAAGCATCAAGGGAGAGGACAGGATCTTCTTTTTCAGCAATCCATTCATCATCCGAATCAATTTCATCAATTAGTATTGGATCAATGTTTTGTCTTCTTCTGATACTCCTCTCTCTTAGTTTAGTGTTGTACTTCACATAGACCAAAGCATTCAAACGTTTGTGCTCAAGCCTATTCCTCTTTTTTGTATGAATCTAATATAATAATATAAGAAACTGTAGACCACCCCGGAGAACTCCCGGCTCCGCGCCCGAGGGCGCGAATCTGTTCTGTTCTTTAGCTACTACAATTCGGACTCAATGTCGCTGTTTTGAATCTAATCTCACAAAGTGCAATGCAAGATCGATAAATCACCAAAGAATCCAAATCCGACAAATCGTTTTGGAAAATTGATTTTTATAAAGAAGTGCCAAACATGGACTGCTTTGCCAGATACAGAGTTGCCATTTAAATGTTTTATTTTGGAGGAAATTTAGGAAACCCTGACTCGTGCCTAAGGCCACGTATTCGTCATCACCAAAGTTGTCTCGGTTCGAGAACTTGGGTACGAGAGGGGAAGGTCATGCAATGAGCACCTCCGCTGGCCCGATCAAAAGATCGGCCTTTACTAAGCATGATATTTTGTTTTTGAAAACACATGTGTTCTTATTCCGGTTATTAACCTAGAATTACTATGTGATGCGCACAACACAGAAGTATAGACTAGATCGCCTAAGCTGGAACAAAACATTTCATGTTCGTTTGAAAATGGTTTGAAGTTTGCTACTCGCAAGTAGGCTAAGACACGAGGTTTTTACCTGAATTGTTCAATTCAAAAGCAATTCCACCTTCATCCACACAAGCATTCATGCAGTCAATCAACTAGCAGTTAGTCTCATGACAAGCATGCAGACATGGCAAACAATCACATTCTCATGCAGTATGCTAAAAGGTCAAACACTCACAGTGTATCCGAGCAAAACAGAGATAACTAGTTAGAATCATGCTGATCCTAGTTCATGTTAAGATGGTCTAATCCAATGCATGCGAGAATGTAATTAAAATAGGTCGCTATTCTAAACTCATCGTCGAATGAAAGTAACTTGTAATTGTCTTTACAAATTAGAAATGAAAATCAATGCAGTTTGTATGATGCCACCGAGCTCGATGCAATGCAAAACAGATGATGATGCACACAATGCGAAAGCCATAAGGATGCTAATCAAAATACTGCCGCTAAAACTAACCATCCGTCAACGTTAAGTAATAAGGCGAGAAAGAAAATGGAGCTTGAAAAACATGCATCACAACACCACGCTACGCTTATTAAAAACAGTTGGCCCTCCTTCGACGAGGGTTCCGAATAAAAAGCTAACTAGCTAATCTAAACTATTCATTAAGAAATCAAAGCTAATTAACTATCCTAGTTACTCTATTACAACTGAAGCTCAATTCTTACCCACAGTTTACTACTAGTTATTACACAAATAAGCAACTAAACGCATTAACTACTTAATACATGAAAAAAGCAATAAACTAGCTAGGAGAAGCAGTAAAAGAGAGGTCCTCAGGAAGACGATGCATGCATGCTCGGATCGCCGTCATTCGGAATTCCAAATGCGATGGCCGCAACTTGCCTCTGTTTTGTAGTTGTTCTCAAGAAGCCTCGCAAAAGCTCCAGAAAGCCTTCTCAGCTCACCATGGGATCTGTAAAGCATGGCCGACCACCTTAGCGGGTGTTGCCAGCCACTGGCCGTACCAGTGTAAGTAGTCCTGGCGTACCCACTTTCAAGTGGTCGGTCAGCTTTCACCATCTCTGGAGATATTTTCTCTTTAGTTGTCAGAGTTTGAATGGCACATAAAACCATCCTCGCATACACTGTATGGAGGGATGGGCTTTTGAAGCCTTTGGCTTCCTCACAACTTGAGCCTTGGTTTCTATATAGAGAACCTTCCGCGTCCTTCTTCAGGTTCAGAACTTTGTGCTTGAGAGTTATAGATACACATTTGTCTCTATCTTGCTCTTTGCTTTCACATTTGTGCTTCAAAAGTTGCCTTTTATCACAATCTTAACACACACTCAACCCATACACTTGTTGTTGAGGCTTCTTGAAGTTGTTTCTTTAATTTTTGGCTGGTTTGGTCAGAAAAAGTTGCTGGAGTATAGCTTCAAAGTGGTTCTTCAAGGGTGAGTCCAATAGCCTTTTAAACCTTGTTTTTTATTAAGCTTTGGACCT